CCGTTCTAGGCCTGGGAAGCCTCCAGGCCTCGGAGGCCTAGAACAGACTTCCATAAGTGTCATCCATGTACTTCCAGCGGGCTGTTCTAAGCCTGAGAGGCCTCCTCCAGGCCTCGGAGGCCTAGAACAGACTTCCATAAGTGTCATCCACAGACTTCCAGCGGGCTGTTCTAAGCCTGAGAGGCCTCCTCCAGGCCTCGGAGGCCTAGAACAGACTTCCATAAGTGTCATCCACAGACTTCCAGCGGGCTGTTCTAAGCCTGAGAGGCCTCCTCCAGGCCTCAGAGGCTTAGAACAGACTTCCAGAAGTGGCATCCATGTACTTCCAGCGGGCTGTTCTAAGCCTGAGAGGCCTCCTCCAAGCCTCAGAGGCCTAGAACAGACTTCCAGAAGTGGCATCCATGCACTTCCAGTAGGCCGTTCTAGGCCTGGGAGGCTAAATACGAGTCAGTTGCCAAGCCTCGTGAATTTGGATCAGGTGGCTCTGGGGATGCTGCCACAGTCGTAAGTGTGAAAAACGGCCGTAAGTCCCTTTTTTTCCCCAGCGCCGTTGTAACTTCAAACGGTCACTAAATGAACTGCTGTAAGCCAAGGACGTCCTGTATCTCGCCACTTCCGCGATTCCCGTAGTTTTCTTCTAATGTCAGGCCTTGTTGCTTTGCAGCTTTCCTTCAGAGCGCAGGAGATCTTTAACAGGTATTTATGCAGCAAAGCTACGACGCCAGTCAACATTGACAGCCAGGTCCAGCTGGCAGACGATGTCCTGACCGCACCACATCCACACATGTTCAAAGACCAACAGCTTCAGGTACCTTGGGAAATTTGAAGGACAGCTTACCGGTGACTAGAGAGGGCTGCCACAAGTAATTTTAGCTTTTAATCAGACCAGTTAAATGTCTACGGAGATTCTCCGTCATCCAGGTCAGGGTTGTCCCAAAGGTGCTTTTTTTTCAGGAGGCAACTGGACTTTCTTGTGTTTCTTTGAAGACGTTTCTCTTCTCATCCCAGAAGCTTCTTCAGCTTTGACTGGAGGGTGGGGAATGGAAGGGATTATACTCCTTGCAGAGAGCTGGTCACTTGCATCCTTTTAGAGAATCCTTGAGGCCACTTGGAGCTTTGTCTGTGTCCTCAGGGTCACCTAAGTGGTGCAAATGGGTGTGGAGCCTTCTGGGAAGTTCTGAAAGGGAGGATATATATACTCCTTGCAGAAAACTAGTCATTTGCCTTCTTTTAGAGAGCCGTTGAGGCCACTGGGAGGTTTATCTGTGTCCTCAGTGGTCCCAAAGGGGCTTTTTCAGGAGGCAACTGGACTTTCTTGTTTTTTCTTTGAAGACGTTTCGCTTCTCATCCCAGAAGCTTCATCAGCTCTGACTGGAGGGTGGGGAATGGAAGGATTTATACTCCTTGCAGAGAGCTGGTCATTTGCATCCATTTAGAGAATTCTTGAGGCCACTTGGAGCTTTGTCTGTGTCCTCAGGGTCACCTGAGTGGTGCAAATGGGTGTGGGGCCTTCTCGGAACCGCTGAAAGGACTGTGTGGTAGACCGGAGACAGATGATCTACAATTTACAGTCCTTTCACCAGTTCCAAGAACTTGTCTTCAAGTTCTCCTTTAGCTCCTCCAATTTTTTTTCCCAAAATATTTTTTAAGACATCTTTTTTTTTTTTCCCTGGGGACAAGATCTGCCACTTGTGAAACTCCTATTTGCAGCAGCATGATGGAATTCTGCCTTAATAGGGCTCTTTCTTTCTTTCTTTTGCTTTCTTTATTATTTTTTTTAGATTTTCAATTTGATGAAATTTGACAGCTACGCCCGCTTTCTGAAGTCTCCATTTTACCAAGAATGCGTTTTAGCAGAAGTGGAAGGCCGTCCAGTCCCCGATCCGCAATGTGTCACGAGCAGCCCTACACTGAAGTCCAGCTTCGGCCCGGACACGTTCAGTGTCTCCACTCCAAGAAAGGTTTCTGTCTTTTATGATGTACGTGTTCTGTCCCCGTCTGACACAAACACCCAAACAGCCAGCCAAGGGTTAAATAACTTCTCCACACTCCAATCCACAGATAAGAAAACTTGGCAGCAGCTCCGTAGCTGCCTGCCAAGACTTTTACTCAGAGAACAAAAAACAATACACAGAGTTTGAAATTCAAGCCACAGCAAACTACTTCGCCAGAGATTCAGCTTTTGTCCGTCACAGAGTCCAAATGGCCACCACCTCCCTTTTATAGCCTGTGGGGTGTGGTCCAGTGACTCAGCTTAATCTCTGACACGCCTCCTTTTCTGCTGCGCACGCTTGTCGCGCCTACGCTGGCGTGGATCCAGCCACAACGTATCTTCATCACTATCCGAAACACCTGGCTCCTGGCCAATCTCAGAACCACCTGGCTCCTGGTCAATCTCTTCTCCGTCGGGAGACACCTGAGGCATTGCCAGAGAGGAGGGTCCTGGAGAGGGAGGCCTGGCCAT